ACACACTCACAGAGTAAGTAAGGACACATTCACAGAGCAAGTACTGACACCTCCACAGAGAACGTACGGACACCTCCACAGAGAAGGTATGGGCTCCTTCACAGAGTAAGTACGGACACATTCACAGAGTAAGTACAGACACCTTCACAGAGTAAGTACTGACACCTTCACAGAGAAAGTACAGACACATTCACAGAGTAAGTACTGACACCTTCACAGAGAAAGTACGGACCCATTCACAGAGAAGGTATGGGCTCCTTCATAGAGGAAGTACGGACACATTCACAGAGTAAGTACTGACACCTTAACAGAGAAAGTACGGACACCTTCACAGAGTAAGTACTGACACCTTCACAGAGAAAGTACGGACACATTCACAGAGTAAAGTACTGACACCTTCACAGAGAAAGTACGGAAACCTTCACAGAGTAAGTTGTTTCTTGATTTTAGTTGGGGGGGGGGGGGTTAGTGAAAACCCTTCCCAATTAGAAACGTTTTGTCGGCCTATATCCCTTTTATAGGGCGTCTGATGCCACCCCGAGAGGGGAAGGGGGGCGTTTTTAAGGACGTTAAAATATATCCATCCCAGCTCCAAGAAAGTTCGACTGATGGTGCTGCGAAAACAAAACTGCCGGCCGACTAGGTGTTCCTTAGTTGATTTCCTCCCAACTCGCATCTTCATTCGAATGGAATGAGGATGGCGCTGTCTCAGCGACGGAGTGCCTCCAGCGTGGCGCTTCGCGGCCCGACTAGTCAACGGGTGCTATTCGGGTTGGGACGAAGAAGAGGTTACGTCGGGGTGAAGACCTAATGAGCTCGTGCTCGACCGGTCAGCTGTTGTTTTTTTTTTCTTAAGATTTTAGATTCGTCGACCTATATTAGCAACATAACGAACTTGAAGAAACAACGCGAAAGCAGGAGACTTAAACGCCACCATATCTTTCATAGATATCTATGCTTCCAGCGTGCCTCGAGTAAGTTGTGGCACTGAGCTTTATATGGATCAGGGCCGAGTGGATAAGGAAGCGGTTGGTCATTCGGTCATGTATGGTTTTTGTTGGCTTTTTAATTTTTTTTTTTTTTAAAATTTTAAACCCATAATTGAGCAGCCGTTTCTTAATTAAACAAATTAAAACAGTGAAGAGGGTATGTTGTTCCACGTTTTATTGCGACTTCTTTATGATTGTCGTCGTACTGCGTGTTCATTCCCTTAGCCCGCAGCGGTCCGGACCCCCCCCCCCCCCACCCTTTAACCCGGCGGACCGGCGGAAAAAGGGTTCCCATTGCACCAGGGACCGGTGGAAACGGGGTTGCCATTGCACCAGGGACCGGTGCCGGAATTATTAACTAGTGTTCTTTTTTATTGTAACAAATATGTCGTGAAATCGTTTCATTCCGCAATCAGCGACTTTGATAGAACGCGATGAATTATAATCATTTAATGCTACCCGGTAACAGTTTGTTTTTCTTTTTTTTTCTTTTTTTTTTTTTTTTTCTGTTTTTTTTTTTTTTTTTGTTTTTTTTTTTTTTTTTTTTTTGGTGTGGGGGGGTTTTTTTCTTGTTTTTTTTCTTTCCCAGTCTTTTTAATATTAAAAAAAAACAAACAAAAAAACTTTCATAATCTGATTTTGGCATGTTTTATAACTTAAGTTTTAATTATTGGTAATTTGGTAATACAAAAGAAATATTGGAATACAAGGGGAAAAAACGTTTGAGCTAAGAGAAATGTGGGCATGCTTTGAACAATTTTTTTTTTTATTAATAAGCAAATCAAATCGCGGCTGAATAGTAGACAGTGCTGAACGCAGCGGAGAAAGGCAATACATTCTGCTGCTGTCCTTTGTCTTAATAATAATTCTCATGAACAGAAAGCCAGTTTCGCAAAGGTAAATTGAATGAAACCTAGAGGCGTTAGCTTATCTTGCAAAGAGACATTAAAATCAGCATATGGAGAAATGATAGATTTTGGATAAAACCTTTTAAGGTTACCAGACCGTATTTAGCACGGACAGTTTCTATTTTCGACCCCGCTTGTCCATACTAATTTTTGCTTCCGTATTTGTCCGTACTGTACTTTTCTTCCGTCGTCCGGCTTGTCTGTACTTTTGGCAGCGACGGCTCGGTTGTCTTATTTCCATTTGTCTTGTCTCTCTCTCTCTCCCCCCCCCCCCAAAAAAAAAAAAAAAAAAAAAAAAAA